GAGAGAGAGAGAGAGAGAGAGAGAGAGAGAGGGAGTTTGCGTATGAGAGAGAGGAAGAAGAGAGAGAAGCAAAGAAGAGGGAAGGAGAGGAGGCATGATGGTCCTTGGGTGCATGTGGCATCTGTGAGTGAGGGGGATCGAGGGTGTGAGTGATGTGAGAGACATACCTGGTGCTTGAGGCGAACGGCATTGGCCGAGATCTACTCGTACTTCAAGAAGCTGTTGTCGTCAACTTCGGCATTGTAGTATAGGCTAGATACTATCCTATAAGAAGAAAGGGGACTGTCATTTGCTACTGGACATAGACGGTCTCGTTATCCGATCGTGACTGAGTTCTGAGGAGGGAACAAAGCGGTGAAGTGAGCACGCAAATCCGCCTGTGTGTGGGCGCTCGGAGCGTCGGGTTGTCTATCTCAGAGCTGGCAGCCTGGTATTCTGCTCGGCCTGCTCAGGAAAAGCTTAGTCATGTTACGGAGTAGTGGGCTACACGGCTATAGGCCGACATACCTCCAGTTTGTTTGGAAGTGGAAGCCAATGTCGGGTGAGGGGCCTACTGTGACGGCTACCTTAGACTATAGCCATCGCAATGAAGAGGTGAGATTGAGGGTTGACGTTGAGGGGGGAAGAGAAAAGGAGATGAGGGCTGATCAGAGACTGCAGCTGGCGATTACGGAGGCCAAGGACAGAGCCGAAAGGAGGTGCAGAAGGGATGGGGTCACTGATGAGCTAAAGGTGACCGTTTCTTACCTGGACGCGAGGACCTCGACGGACATAGTGGAGCGTGAGCAGCTGCACCTGGACCGAGATTCAGAGGCGGAAAGTGAGGTTAGTGACAGTGAGACTGACCTCCAGTCCTGGAACAGACCGGACCAGGTTCGTAAGAACCACCCTCAGGCGCGACCAGTTGAGGAGGGCCCAGAGGCCAGCTCCCGAGGGCGAGGCCAGTTTGCGGCAGAGAAGACCCGGAGGCTAAGGGGCAGTAGACACATGGGGGATGAGTGTGCGAGACGCAGGTTTGCAAGGTGCAGTTGACGTCAACTGTTGTCTCCAAGTTCTCACGTTTTGCGTCGATTGAGCCGCAGTTAGCTTTTATGACAGGGGAAGAGGCCGTGCCGCACAAGAAGAGACGAGGTTGCATGTGAAGAGGGGGAGATGTGAGCGCGTTCTACACAGTCTGTAAGGGATTGGCATGGTGCTGCACTAATCATCTTACGCTGGTAGAAGGGGCCGTTGAGAGGGAAGTGTTGTTATTCTCCCGTGTGATGAGCAAAAGGGGGAACGTGCCGTTAAAATTTTGTTGATGACAACTACTCATGTGCATGGTTTTAGTTAGCGAGATACAGCGGGGTGATAGTGGCATACCGGGAGAAGGAGAGTTCAACAGTCGCACACTGAATGGTGACCTCGAGATTTTGCCTTCTCCGAGAGCGAGAATAAGCGAGTTCTTTTCGCTGGCGTTTTCAGTACGGGTGCACGATAACTACTCTTTTTCTTGATTGAGTACTGTGTGAGCTAGCCTTGTGGCAACCGCTGGTTAATATGGTGAGAATGGGAAACTGTACTAAACGCAAATTACGAGCGGACCCTCGTTAGGTTGAATAAAGCACATCTATTTAGCGAGTACGAGCAAAATGATGATGTCTGTGGCAACAACTGTGAGGTGATATGACTACTTTATGCTTTTGAGTATGTGTAAGAAATTAACGACGGTGTAAGAGAAAGCGTCGATTTAAATCGAGGACTAAGGTATGTGCTAATTACGAAGGTTGATTGCAGCGGATAAGAGTCTACTGAGTCGGATGGGGGTCAGAACCTCGCGAGTGTTTGTCAGAGTTGACTAGTCTGGAATGTTGCTTTCGGCATTTGTTGCTTAGCTCTTTATATTCATGTGTGACGGATGGTCAGACATCTCCTTACTCGTCCTAGCAAGCCAGAAGTGGCCAAAGGCGTGTATCTCACGAGTAATGGATACAATCAGTAGGGGCAATCACAAACGAAAAGAAAAGAATAACTGTTGTCTATTGGAGTGATAATGTGCGAGTGATGAGGGTAAACAAACGAGCGTGCTATTGCAGAATTCTGAGCCCTTTTCCCCTATGTATTTCGTCTACTCTGCTCCAGTACCCCAGAAAGCAGGTGTGCCCCACTGATGAGTTGCTCGGACTGATGTCGTTGGCCATGACCATGCCCCGTTTTCATGAGCGCAAAGTAATAAAGGGAAAGTCCTAACTCAATCAAGCGATAATTTTCATTGCCAGTAATTCGATCAGAAAAGACCCTGCCTGTTAATGACTTCTCTCGATGGGTCCGGGATTTCAGGGGGAATAAAGGTTCGCCGGTGTTCCCGCTTTATTTGGTTGATGGGGAAAAAGAAAGTAATATTGAAAAAAATCGCCTACCTTCTCGCTAAGTTTCTATTTGATGGTGATTAAATGGTCCTGCATTGTTTTCGTCATGCTAACGGTGGACTAACATATACATACACGTTTCTGACGATGATCAGTTGAGGGGCGCTTGGTTAAACTCTCGCATCATAAGTTAGCAGGGGTTGCGCAAAAAACTAGGTGTTGTAGGAGAATGCAGTACATGCTGGGCGAAGTCCCGCCCCTGGTGAGAACGGGGTTAGAGTCTGACGGCCCACCAGTGCTACTCATGAACATCAGTAGTGCTTGACGCCTCGTTGTGCAGGGTACGGGCTGGGTTCACATTTGGCGACTCAATGTGCTCAGGGTTTTGACTTGTGTTGACTTGTTAAGCGTAGACCCAGTTTTTACACTCAGCTACACTACAACTAAAGCACACACGCTTCCCGTATTCGTAGCTCTGAGCAAGAACAAGTTCACATTCGGGATTATGATACTTGGGTACTGAATAACCTCGCTATCTGGCCTATTGAGCCGAGTGCTTTCAGGCCACGTGCTCAGAGTTCTTGTAATAAGAGTGATAAGGAACGAGCCCTGATACGAGGTACGTTTGCAACGCGATCTGACTACTGTACGTTTTGTTGACTGAGTCAGCGGCTTACTATTGCTGAGTGCGACGATCGCAGATCAACTGCCCCAATCTCTTGTTCAGAGGCCGCTAGAGTGGGGCCCATATAGGACAAGGGGAAACGCGGAGATATGATCAACTAAGCTCCTTTCCCTCGTCTTAATCACCTTTTACTAACTGACCGGGTGAAGTCAAGCCATACTTGTGATTAACCGGATTTCAAGATCATGTAGAGTAATCTGGACTAATGTAGGCTAATGTGTGAGCAATCCTTCTTATGCCTGTGTCGAGTGAACTGTTGATGAGTCGTACTTCACTTGTATTGAGGGAGTGCACCCAGCAAACTCTTGAGAGTTACCAAGGCGCCAATTATCATCCGCCTCTATATTCCGATATGTTAAAAAAAAAAAAAAAGTCATGAGGGACTCAGAGGTATTAATGATGAAATCCGAGTTTAGTGTGGACAAGCATGAGGGCTGGGAAAATGAGGTTTGTATGTGCATCGAAGTTCAGAAACCTATTTTGAGAGAGGAAGCGATCCAGAGAGCGAGAGAGGAAAAATACATAGAGTATATGTTCTACTTCTGTGATCAAAACGGCAAGCTGCATAGTACAGGCTTTTTACTAGAGACCGTTGACAAGGCAAAGGCAAGGATCAAGTGAACACAAGTGTGCCCGGATTCCTTTCCCCAACAGTCAGTCACCGTTCAACCAGTATTTTAATCAACACTGAGTGAGCGTTTAACCAGTATTTAATCAACAGTCAGTTAGCATTCAACTATTATTTTAATCAACAATCAGTCAGCGTTCGACCAATATTTAATCAACAATCAGTCACCATTCTATCAGCATTCCACTGGCAATCAATCAACATTTAATGGGCATTCAATCAACGCTAAATTGTTTGAGTTCCTATCAATAGACTCATCTGTTTCGACACCCACTTCAACATATGAGTACGATACAATCATTCTCGGTTCCAAAAACTGTCCTCACCAGTCTCAACAAGATCTCCTTCAAGGATGCCATCCAGTACAGGTATGTCAGTGTCACTGGTTTCAGACAGAGTGACTTGACAATCTATGTCGTCCTTACCAATTTTACAGGCAGTGTTATTTACGACCGAAGACTCTATGTCAAAAGGGGTAAAGAGGCTCACGAGCACTTCGACTCAGTCTGGGTCTCGACAGCCAGGTACCTTCAGGAGAGAGAGAATGAGCTAGATGAGGGTGGTACTAAGCTGATCCAAAGCTTCAGACCAAAGTTCTACTCAGACTACCCCAGGCCTCCGGTACCCTTTACTCTTACAGACGGCTCATGTTGGGGCGATCTGGTGGACCTAGCAAAGAGATACATCTCACCTGCAGCGATCGATTATGAGTCAGTGACTGAGCCTTCCGAGTTTCCGCATCTCCGACGAGGGGTTTTCTCTCAACCGTACCTTCCTACACTATGGGAGGAGTTTTGTGCCATGGTTGACTTCCGTATCATGGGACTTGGATGGAAGTGTTAAGAGCTTGCAGGCTTCAGGTAGCTCTACATACAGAGACCTCAATCTCAGAAAGTACGGAGACATGGCCGAAAGCACAAGAAACAGACAACTAAATGAGAGATTGTGAGTGTGATCCAGAAGGATGAGTGAGGACTCGAGATTAGTGTTGGCTATGCTCTCCTTCATGTGTACTTCCTGAGACTATTATGAGTTCTCATTCTTCCCTCATCTGACTTTGTCATTGTTTGAGTAAGTCGGTCGTCCTACTTTGCCTTGCATTCCTATTGATTGCTTTTCTTGATGATTCTGTCACAACTCTCAAAATCAAAAAATTGGTAAAGTTGATGCATGCATGACACACTAGAATTTCATGAGTATTATCTGCATCACCATTGCTGTTCCGAATCATAATTAAAGATTTATAAGATCTGGGACCAAAGAAGACCGGAATTGATGGGTCTCGGTCGAAGTTGGACGCACACAAGAGGAAGGGATTTGCTTTATTTAATTTATTTTATTTATTGCAAGCAAGCATCCAAAAATCCTGCGTGACAGCCTATTGGCTTTCCTGTTGCCCGAAGAGGTCTGACTGGAAAAAGTGTGACAACGCACGTGTTTGGTCTGTGTAAACGAACGGGCATTGACCCGTCGAGCAAGCTCATTATTGGGAACGATTTGTTCGTCAATCCACCGATTGATCATTCGGAGGGCGTGATGTTTCTCACAATCAACCGGTGTTTGCACCGGTTTGATAGAACAAACCGATCGATCAGCATATCGCCATCTAAAGTCATTGTGGTCAGCAGACTGTTCGGCCTATATCAAACCAGTGAAGAGTCGAAGTCGGTCGACCAATCGATAACATCAAAAGAGCGCCCAAACAAGTGAACAGCCCATATAAAATGCAGACCACACCATCGTGTATGTTTCAGTTTGTATGTGTGTGCGTGTGTGCATAAACACGCCTCGCTATTGTCGCACCACGCGATCCTCAACAAAGAAAACACGCTATCACCGATTGATAAAAACATGACCGCTCTTCCAATCAACTTGTTGATTGAGGAACAGAGCGTGGTCGAGATTGATGAACTGTCCTGATTGAGTGATCGTGTGTGTTTTTATTTATCGGGCTTTTATGCATGGTCATCGGACATTATCGAACCTTGTTCGTCATCGACATCATCGAAAATCGAACACTGTCCATCGGATTTTCTCCAACACGGCCATCGGACATTATCGAACCTTGTCCGTCATCGAACCACATCGGACTCCATCCACTTTCGCAGAACGCGCAGTGTTTAAGCCAAACCACAAAGGACGCATTTCGAACACCCCGACCAAGCGCTGTCGCGATCCCAGCTCAAAACATCGCCACAACATTGCGGGGTTCAATCCTAAGCGCGGAAGGCCGTAGTGACTGAAGACCATGCGTGAATGCACGAAGTCCACCGACATCCGAACTTCACATATCAACCATCATTGGCAACAAATGAAGTTCGGATGACGGCGGTCCTGGAGGTCCTCCTGGTAGCTCGTCGACAGTTATCACATCTCACCAGCGTTTGAAGTTCAGATGCCGGCGAAGTTTGCGTTTCCACACAACCCCCTCTGGAACCAGGGTCTTCCTTGTCCAGGACGGGAGTGGAGGACAAAAGAACTTCGTCGGCATCCAAACTTCACGTTTTGTCCGTGTGGGCTAACTGAAGAAGTCCGCCCGCATCCGAACTTCAACAATCGGGCTGCTTTGCTGCTGAACATTTGTAGTTCGCCGGCTTTCGAACTTTACATATTCACCGCCATTGGAAGTAGGGTCTTCCTGCTCCGGCACGAGAGGGGAGGACAAAAAAACTCGCCAGAATCCGAACTTCGCGGTTTGTCAGCTGGGTCTAACTTAAGTAGTCCGACCACATCCGAACCTCAATGACTGGCATACGCTGCATCCTCACTTCGCGTTCCGGCTGTGGGCGCCAACTGAAGAAGTCCGCCCGCGTCCGAATTTCAATGATTGGCCTCCATCGTTGCTGGATTTTTGTCGTTTGCCAGTGTCCGGACTTGGATCGTGTCTAAACAGTGCAACTGGAGAGACAAGGGTGCAGTCTAATAGTTAGGATGCCGGCGGACTACCACACTTGCACCTGCTCGACAATACGTGAGGCTTTGAGGCAAAAGAACATCAAGTCCACGACCGTCTAATTCGTCAAGTTAGCCTGCACCCTTGCCGCACCTTCCGCAATGTTTCGACAATGATTCTAGTTGGGATATCGACGATCGGCAACTGCTTAGCAACACAGTAGGCCAGTCAGAAAATTCGGATGCAGAGTAGGGCAGTCATTGAAGTTCAAATCCGGGCGGACTTCTTCGGTCGGTCCCCGCACAGAAAACGTGAAATTCAGTTGCCGGCGAACTTCATCCTCTCGTGCTTGACCAGAAAGAGCCTAGTTGCAGTGGTGGTTACGTGGAAACACGAAGTTTCCTGGGATCCGAACAAGTCCGGAGCGTAGATGTGTAGTTTGGTGAGAAAGGATAATTGTTGACGAGCCGCCAGGAATACCGACAAGTCCCCTGGCGTCCGAACTTCCTTCGTTGCCAATGGTGGTGGACATGTGAAGTCCGGGCCACAAAGATGTGCTGGTTGTCGGCTGGACTCTGACGACGGCGGACATTGACATCGGTTCCGTTGCCAGGGTGGCGTGAGCTTCGAACAGCGTCACCCTGCGATTCCCATTCCACAGGCCGACAATCTGAGTCTGTCGGAATACGGACTTCGAAAATTCTTGTCTCGCCAATGGAGCACACGCCGGGGCTCCGAACGGCTTCAGTCCCGATGTGTTTGTCTGCCGACCACCTACAAGAAGTGCCAAACAGTCGACACTTGTCTTTACGGACTGCCAAAAACATTCTTAGGGCACCTTGGTGGTCGGTTGCTAGGGTCCCCTCCAAGTTGTTGGATCTGAATCTGTTTTGAGCAGAGTTTCGCACTCCACAAACAGAATTCCCCTCCAGTTCCCGCAGGTTAACAGTTGTTCGGGAAGTCGTTCGCGACGCTGAAACGCAACTGGGGCGAGTTTGGTGGACCTTCTTGTTGGATCTGGATCTGTTTTGAGCAGAGTTTCGCACTCCACAAACAGAATTCCCCTCCAGTTCCCGCAGGTTAACCGTTGTTYGGGAAGTCGTTCGCGACGCTGAAACGCAACTGGGGCGAGTTTGGTGGACCTTCTTGTTGGATCTGGATCTGTTTTGAGCAGAGTTTCGCACTCCACAAACAGAATTCCCCTCCAGTTCCCGCAGGTTAACCGTTCTTTGGGCAATCGTTCACAATGAGGAAACACAACTGGGGCGAGTTTGGTAGGCCTTCTTGTTGGATCTGGATCTATTTTGAGCAGAGTTTCTCACTCCACAAACAAAATTCCCCTCCAGTTCCCGCAGGTTAACAGTTGTTCGGGCAGTCGTTCGCGATGCTAAAACGCAACCGGGGCGAGTTTGGTGGGCCTTCTTGTTGGATTTGGATCTGTTTTGAGCAGAGTTTCGCACTCCACAAATAGAATTCCCCTCCAGTTCCCATAGGTTGACAGTTGTTTTGCCAGTCGTTCGTGATGCTGAAACGCAACTGGGGCAAGTGTGGTGGGCCTTGTGCTGGGGGCTGGGGGTCTGAGAGGCGGAGTCTGGTGGTCTCACGCCGTTATCCATCTATGATGTTGCCCGGCGAATTCATCAAGTTCGCCGGCATCTGAACATCGCATGAAGGCTGAAGACAGATCTGAATAAGCGTGGATACCGGGGGACTAGGGGTGCGTGAACACAATGTGAAGAACTGCCGGCGATTTCGTCTAGTTTGCCCGCCTCCGGATTTCGCACAAGCCTGAGCACGACGTGAAGAAATGCGGATGCCAGCGAACTTGTGGCTAGTTCGTGTGGTCTATTGTCATATTCGTGCGCTGTTGGTACACGTTCGTGCGCTGTTGGTACACGTTCGGTGTGCCTTCTTGTTGGATCGGGGCTTGGGAACTGCAGAGTCCAGCAGTCAACAAACCGTCTCACTGCCAGTGACTCTCTTTATCATCGCATGTCGTTATCAGCCCTCGCCAATTGCTTGCAAATTCGTTTAGTTTGTCGAGATCCGAACTTCGTACAGATGCCTCTTTCTATGTGATTTGGGTGTCGATACCGTTGATGTGCTATAGTGGTGTGTGGCATGTGGGTGTACGGAAAATGGACCTCTGTACTGGGGTGGGTAATTTATGTCTTCCGTATGTTGGGTTGTTTTGGTATCTTGGACCGTTGCAGACACAATATCGACGTCAAGGGGCGAGGAGCAGCCGACCAGTACCTCAGGGAGGGAATCACGGACCTCCAAATCAAGGTCCTATTTTGTGCATACCAAATGGTTCATGGATTGGTGCTGCGGGGATGAGTCCCAACCGACCAAACCTCCGTGCGGTCCTGTTATATTCCTCGAAGATAAAAAAAGGCGTAGAGTTCTTGGGGCGGTGGCCGGATGGCACCCTGCTAAAAAGGAAAACACGCAACACTATAAGCTGCACACTATTTATAGTTCTAAGGGCGACGTTGTTGCCAATTCCAAAGAGGCGGTTTTGTCTTTCGACCTGTTCCAGGGGTTTGGGGCGGGGGCTGTGAAGACCCCTTTCTACCAAGATCTCGCAGTGGGAGGTGTTGTTTCGGCACGAGAGTTTTTTGACTTGGTGGAGCAGAGGAATATCGACCTGGAGGAACCCTGCCACATTCAAGGCGACCAAGAGTTGTCGCAGCATCTTCAAATGTGCACCGGCTTCGAATCCAACGGTGCTCCCACGAAAGGGGGAGATTTGGGTTTCGGTCCTTCTTCCCAACTCCATCAGAGCGCAGTCCGTGGTCGCTTCGACGACAGCGACGATGAAGAACAGGAGCAGACGAGGCCTTCGCCGCCTAGGCTGGGAGACCGGTTTGTCCTGAGTATTCCTTGGGCGGAAGGACACACTCCGGTTCACGACCGGCCGTCGACATCAGTTGGGGGGGAAGAGGAGGGTGTACAGCAGCCTGCACATAAGAGAAGGGGAGGTCCTCAGGAAGAGGTGTCGGTTCTGCAAAGAAACATAAGGCAATGACCCCCCAGACGACGGGGGAAAAAAGGAAAGGAGGGCACATCGGGTCGGAAACGCCCGAGGTCGGTGCAGAAACAGCCTCAGCCGGGTGCTCTCGGGGCAAAGGGTCCCATCGACATCAACACCGCGTACTTCCTCGAATGGAAAGACGACGTGTGGACAAAGCGGGAGTTCTTCATTAGCCCATCGCGGGTCGTCGAGATCGGTGACTGGGAAGCGTCATACAACCGACGGTCACTGGATCCCGTGCACACGCAACTCATCATTGACACGATGATGATGGTCTTCTCGCAAGCCAAGAAGACGTACGAGTTGCCTACCCTTAAGTTGGCACCACTAGGGTTGGAGAAACCGAAGCCGGGCGTGCGGGCAGATCGTTTGAAGCCAGCGGACTGGAAGGACGACCTCGCAGGCCAAAACCATTATTACGTTATTTTCGGCCAGCACAACGCGGCTGCAGCCAAGGTGCTACTCGGCACGAACGTCGCATTGAGGTACAACTTCGAGAGGTGGCCTGCACGTATGGTTTACTTCTCGGACGAGGAGTTCGAAGGGTATTTTCTGGTCAGCTCGGGGGACAACAAGAAGGACTTGAAGGCGCCTCCTAGACAGATGAAACTCTCAATGAAGGACATTCGGTGGCTGTGGAAGGAAAAGGGTTTCCTGAAGACTGTTATGGGGAACCCCAGCGGAAAACAAGCTCAGGTGCAGAAATGGCATAAGTTCTGTGAGCAGGCGCTTCACAAAACGCCTTACTACCACTTGTAAGGGCGAGGACCATATTAAGAAGCAGAACGTTGCCCTTCACTCTTATTTTCCGCTGATGATGGTTGGAAATAGCGCATGGGAGCTGCGTATGGAAAAAGTCCCCGTCGAGGCGCCCCAAAAGAAAGGAAAGAAGGAGAAAGAGCCTGGCAATTGGTTTGTCCAGGTCACCGAGCCGGATCCGCACTGATGGAAGAGCATGGAAGCCCTTACCGACAACGAGAAATGTCGGTTGCTCAAGAAGGCCTCAACTGTGAGGTTGTATGGGTGCAAACAGGCTCCACTTCATTGGCGAAGCAAGGCAAGCTGGGAGTACAGAAAGCAGTGCACCTGCTGAAGTGCGATCACATCTTGGTGCGATTGTGGAACTACTATCAGTTTGTGTACGAGAATCATACCTTGGGTGCATGTGGCATCTGTGAGCGAGGGGGATCGAGGGTGTGAGTGATGCGAGAGACATACCTTGTGCTTGAGGCGAACGGCATTGGCCGAGATGTGCTCGTACTTCAAAAAGTTGTTGTCGTCAACTTCGGCATTGTAGTATAGGCTAGATTGGATCTGCCGTATGTAGTCCGGGCGTCGAGCACCAGATAGGATATCAACGCTGGTTCTTCGTTGATGACGAAGGGAGTATATTAGCATTGTCAATTATGAACTCTTGGTGTCTTCTCATTTGGTGAAACTCGTGATGCAATTCTGCTGTTGGTTAGAGGTCACGACTATCTCGTTTTGTGTATATGATGCTGTTTGATTGTTGAAGCTCGATATAGCTCATCTTTCTTGATTTATTATTATTATTATTATTATTATTATTGTTATTATTATTATTATTATTATGATAATTATTATTATTATTATTATTATTATTATTATTAGGTACATGGTGGTTCTGAGTGCAAGTGGCATCTGTGTATGGGGGATCGAGATGGTGAGTGATATGAGAGACATACCTTGTGCTGGAAGCGTGCGACATTGGTCGCTGTATGCTCGTACTTCGAAAAGTTGTTGACGTCATCAGCGACATTGTAGGATAGACTAGATAGGATCTGACATCTGTAGTCTGGGCATCGAGCGCCAGATAGGATACCAACATTGGTTCTTCGTTGATGATGATGAGAGTATTCCAATATTGTCAATTATGAGATTTTGCTATGCTCTTATTTGGTGAAACTCGTGATGCAATTCTGCTGTTGGTTCAAGGTCACGATTATCTGGTCTTGTGTATATGATGATGTTTGATTGCTGAAGTTCGCTATTGCTCATCTTCCTTGATTATTATTATTATTATTATTATTTTATTATTATTATTATTATTATTATTATTATTATTATTATTAGGTACATGGTGGTTCTGAGTGCAAGTGGCATCTGTGTGTGGGGGATCGAGATGGTGAGTGATATGAGAGACATACCTTGTGCTGGAAGCGTGCGGCATTGGTCGCTGTATGCTCGTACTTCGAAAAGTTGTTGACGTCATCAGCGACATTGTCGGATAGGCTAGATAGGATCTGACATCTGTAGTCTGGGCGTCGAGCGCCAGATAGGATACCAACATTGGTTCTTCGTTGATGATGATGAGAGTATTCCAGCATTGTCAATTATGAGATTTTGTTGTGCTCTTATTTGGTGAAACTCGTGATTCAATTCTGCTGTTGGTTCGAGGTCACGATTATCTGGTCTTGTGTATATGATGATGTTTGATTGCTGAAGTTCGCTATTGCCCATCTTCCTTTATTATTATTATTATTATTATTATTATTATTATTATTATTATTATTATTATTAGTGAAATCAGACTCGTCTTCATTCACAATTTTCATGCATGCAAACAGTAGCGCAGCAACTTTAGCTAGACATGCGCCTGCTCAAAACTTAGAGATATGGAGACCCAGATACGAGTTCACTCGGCGCCCAAACAACTCTCTATTCACATACACTGGATCACCCTGGATATCCCACACGCGATACTCTGCACTCATACATCGCACACACACACTACATACTAACTCTAGCTATGGCGGCTATGACCGCAACGACCCTATCGCTATGCTACGCTCCTTCTCTCTCGCCCACTTCGGCTCTGGGCTCACTGCAGACCTCCTTGCAAAGGTCGTTGTGGCAGCGCTTCCGCATGGCTCACGCCGGATTGAATGAAGGACTGGGCGCTCCCTCTTGATTTATACTTCTCAAGCTCGTTGGTCTGCCCTGTTCCATCGGCCCATGGTGCTCACTGTCCCTCGTAGTACTTGCTGAGCTGGACTGGGACTGACTGGACCGGTCTGTCACAGTCATTAAACCACCTTGTGCACCCGCTCATCCATGACTACATTGGCATGACTGCTAGTGTCGTCCTGACCCCACCCGCGTTGATGAAGTGCTTATAGGTATGTTTGTTTGTTTGTTCGTGTGTGAGTGTGTGTGTGCGTGCACGACATAAAGAGAGAGAGAGAGAGACAGGAGGAAAGACACAGATCGACACATAGGCAAACAAACATACCGGTCGAACATACATACGGGGCGACCAGACATACCGGGCAAACATATATACCAGGCAAACAGATATACCGGGTAACAGACACACCGGGAAAACAAATATACAATACATAGCAACATACGCACACAGACGAACAAACAGTAAACAGACGAACAGACAGAGGCAGGCAATCAGACAGACATATACAAATAGAAAGCGAGAGAGAAGGAGAAGAGGTAAGAAGAGAGAGAGGGAAAGAAAGAATGAGTGGGCATTACCTGGTTGTCACTGGTTGTCGATCCTCTAATGTAATGCCCCCAAATTGTAACTGTACCGGATTGGAAATTTAGCTTGTATATGTTGAGTTTATTATAATTATTATTATTATTATTATTATTATTATTATTATTATCATTATTATTATTATTATTATTAAAAACGAAGAACTTTTACCTGCTCCTCTGCTTACCGTCTGCAAAGGCGGAGACTGGCGGGATGTGTAGTGCATCAGTCGTTGGTATCGTGAGGAATGGGCATGTCATTCGCCCTACTCATAGGATGCACGCTCCTGCCTGTCGTATCCTTCATGTTGTGGTCTCGGTATGCTGCATTTAGTGATAAATCGAGTTACGTTGCGGTTCCATTGCACTTGGATGGGAAGGTGTCGCAACTTCGTAACGAGAGTCTGTGCTCCTGCCATCCGAATGCAGACAGATAGACAGACAGGGACAGACAGACAGACAGACAGACAGACATACAGAGAGACTTACCTGTGGCACCATACCTCTTATTTAGCTGATCGCCCTCCTCCTCGTCTGTGTATGTTTGGGGACTGGCGCATTCCTCCTGTGTGAGCGTCAGGACCGTTCACACCCTGCGATGATGATGATGAATGCTTGATCTGCATTGCGACATTGATTGGTCTGATCATTGGTATTTTAGCCTTCCGCTGCGCTATCCTGTACTATGTAAGAGAGGTCGGTTATTGTTCTGGTCTGCACCATTACGGTATGCGACATGCGTCCTGATGTCACACAGATACGCAGTGACTCATATGCGGTGACAGTCACAATGTGACACATACATAGTGACACACACGCAAACACATGATAACATACACAGAGACAACACACAGACGGACATACAGTGAAACAGACACGGTGTCAAATAGATACTGTGAGCACACACAAAATACTGTGACAATCACACAGTGACACACAGTCGCACAGTGGCATGGACACACGGTGAAGACATACTTTGACACGGACAGATACGGTGACACGCATAGACAGATGTTGTGACACAGACAGATACTGTAATACACACGGTGCACAGTAAAACACAAACGCAGTGGCGTACACAGACAGAGCGAAACCACGCAGATCTACAGATGCACAGCCACACAAAACACAGAAACACAGTGACACAGACTGTGACATATATACAGTAACGCATACACAAGTGACACACAACATACGGTAATACGCACACACGGTCACACTGTGACACATGCACAGTACGCAGTGAAAACACACGGTCACACTGTGACCTGCACACATACAACAGACATACACAGATACACAGTGACGGTGAGCGACACTGTGAAACCATGCGGTTACGCAGTGAGGCACACACAAACATAGTGAAACTCTGACAATCACACAGACACTGAAATACACGCACATGTATTGAGACAATGACGGTGACACTGTGACGCACGTAGACACAGTGGAGCAGACACAGTGAAACACTCTAACACACACAAACACACTCTGACATCTACAGCGGCGAATACACAAGTGACACACGACACACAATGAAAACACATAGTGACCGAGTTGCATGATGATACACATGCACCGTACACAGTGAAAACACACGGTCACACTGTGACAAACATACACAGACGCTGTGACAAACACAAACACATGATGTGACAAACACACAGGAATGTTATGACAAACATGAACAGATGGTATGGTACACAGACATTGTGCACGGTGACACTAAGACATAGGGTTTCTTCTAAGGGAATAAACTAGTAGTGTGGTAAGAGGAGAGAGGCTCCGAGAAGCCTGCCTTACCACAATAGTAACTAAGATTAGTATGGCAAGAGGAGCGAGGCTCCGAGAAGCGTGCCTTACCACTGTAGTAGCTAAGATTAATGTGGTAAGAGGAGCGAGGCTCCGAGAAACCTGCCTTACCACTGTAGTAACTAAGATTAGTGTGGTAAGAGGAGCGAGGCTCCGAGAAGCCTGCCTTACCACTATAGTAACTAAGATTAGTGTG